GCAAACATTATCTCTCTAGTTATGACCTTTGTACTCGGTTGCTGCTTGACGTGGGTTGCTAAGCCTATAAAATTTTGCACATAGGAAGATATAGAAACTAAAATATTTTTTTTAGGTTTTATATATACTTTTGAATAACTAAAAAATCATAAATTACTACATCTATACCATAGAATTCAACTATAGTTTATCAAGCTTAGTGACTAAGATATATTTTACTCTAAACAAAAATATGAAATTTTGAGCAGACTAAATATACACCCTACCTCATTGAAATCTTGGTTCAAAAGAAAGAAATGGTGCTAGCCACATTAGAAAGGCTGAGAAAACCACTAGGGAGATATTCTGATCTTCCAATTGGTTATTCATGTCATATATAGAAGTAAGTGTATACAAGGGAGCATTTCCAAAAATGGAAAGAGGTGGGTGGGGTGCCACTGTGTTTGATTTATTACATGAGCAATATCTTAGTAAATGGAAAGATAAGACCTACCTATTTTATATTCTAACTTGTCAATATATGTAATTTGAGTTTCTAATTCGTACGAAACTGTAGATTTTGTATTTTGACTTCACAAACATCTAATTTGAACCAGTGCCGCATTCAACATACCACGTGACATACAGAATCGATGTTTATCTGTGTTTTTTTTTAAATATTTACTTTTAAATTAAAAAATTGAGTAATGTATGGTTCTAAAATTTGAATTATAATCTACAGTTTGATACCAAACTTATTGACATAAATTCATGAAATAATAGTTCAATAAAATTTTGAATGCAAGTCAACAAACAAGATGACATGGTCTTTCACCCGTAACCCATCTCGAAAGGGTTAATAAGTTGATAAAAGAATAATTAAATTCCATTAAATTTATAGATATTTCAACTTCTACAAATGATGCTTAAGTTTTGCAGAGAGAAAGACTTGGGCTGTTTGGAAAGTTGTGCTAATACCTCATAGGTGCCTCATGACATTAATAAAAGTAAGATTATACATATTTGTTATCACAATATTAATCATTCTTATAATCTTGTAGGGGAAGCTGTAGGTGAAGATAACAAAGAAAAAAACAAACCACTGGGCATAGCTATAACAAAGTTTCTAAAGCCTTTTTGACAATTTATGTAAGCTGGTTATAAGCCAAACAAGATTTTAAGTTTTACTCTTAGAAATATTGGGTACAAAAGGTGAAGGAGGTCATCAGTTCGCTCAGTAAGGTTTTGCTCAGACTTCATTTGGAATATTGTTTTAATTTTTGGTCACCTTATTTACTATCTAAGGAAGAAAGTTACATTGTTGGAGAGAGTTCAGAGAAGAGCTACCAGGATGATTCCAGGTTTGAAGGGGATAGGTTGAAATCTCTTGACATATCTTTGCTGGACATGATTAGGTTTCTAAGATTGTTAGAGGTTTGGAATAGATAAATCGAGACAAAATAAAAATTAAGTGTAGTCAATAAGTCTAGAGGACAAGTTTCAGTTATGGAAAATCAAACACCTTTCCAGATAAGAAAGTGTAGTTGGTCTGTGGAATATTTTCCCTTCACGTGTGATAGAAGCTGCAAAACTGAAGAAGTATAAGAGGAGACTGGATTAGTGTTTTGGAGATCAGGATTGTATATAAGAAAAGGTGTTTCTTTATTAAGCTTGAAGTTGGGTGGTGATAGAAAATGGGGTTATTTTAGGGCAAATGAAGCAATATGATCCATTGGAAATCAGATGTGTGCAATTTGAAATAATTATGCCTCGAGTCTTATAGTTCAACTTTTTAAATCATATATGACTGGTAATATGATCACGAGGCATATTGGTTATTTTATATACTCATACTCAGATTGACTGTTTCAAACAAGCAAAATAAACCAAATCAGTCTTTTTGTATGTATTAGAAAGTCTGCTCCAAATCTAGTTTAACATTTGTTGTTTTATTTTATTCATATTTTTGAAAAGGGGGATTTCATTAAAATAAAAGTTCAGTTTTCAGTAATTTTTTTTTAAAAAGCTTCCACATGTCAAGTAAGTTTTACTAAGTAGTAGCTAAAAAGATACGAGTCTTTTACTTGTAAAGATACCTAATAACTGTATTGCAAAAAACCATGTTGTTTTCATTATAACTTGCATAAAGTATTTAATTTTTAGTTTGTAATTTGTTTGTGTATTCTAAATGTATATGGGATATAATTGACAATTTTGTCTTTTATGAATCATATTGTGGATGATTTCAGCTACAAGAGGGAAAAGTCAAACGGCGGCCTGGTAGTGCAGCAAGTAGTACATCTTCTTCAACCCCAGGGACCCCTCGAAAAACATCCAGTAGCACTACCACTACTTGGGGAGGTGTTGATCCCCTCTCTTCTCTTCATCCTTTGAGTGCAGCCTTAGAGGGTCTTGATCCACTTTCTCAGTTTGCTGTGACGACTGATCCTCTGAGTCAGATGGCATCAGAAGCAAGCTTTAATGAAAAAGTATGTTATTTTGTGAATAAATATTCATCCTGAAATTTAGGCACTGCTAATTTCAATACATGCCATTTAGTAGGTAGCACGATGTTACTGAAAATATGGAAGGGTATACAACATCCCTTTCTGATGCAAAATATTCATACATTCAAATCATAAAAAATGTGTTCAGATCAGAGATTTAAAATTTCTAAGACAGAGATATTCCTTGTATTTAATGTCATTAGAAAACAAAGGAATACACATCAACTTGGGACACTAGCAAACATTATGAAAATGTAATTCTGCTGCATACTGTTTCAATGTGATTTTATGTCAGTTGTGGTTGTTTTGTGACTTGCGTATTCAAAGTCATTTTAATATAATGTACTCAACCATCTGTAGTACTAAAGTAAAATGTAACAAGTTAGAGGGGTATTAAATTAAGAACACTCACTTTGGTAGTTGATTTTCATATTTGGTGTAATCTACCCCATGATGATTATATTATTAACTTATAGTATCAACTAATCAAAAGATGAATTAAATAAATTGAAATTTTAGTATTGAAAATAATTGTGAAGCTCATTCAGTGAAGACAGTCATCTTCATAAAATGTGTTCTGCCATACACAAATGGATATATAAACACTGCTTCTGTATGCTTTTATAAATAGTTTGTTGACAGTGTTTACTAAGTTGATCAGTAAAATCATAGTGGTATATATGTTTATGTGTATGTTTACTATAAACATTGTTTTGTGTATGCAATAATCCAAAGTGTTAACTAGACTTGAACAGTAGAAATTTAAACTAGTGTTGTATGAAGTTAAATTTCTTCAGTTGTTTTAATTTGAACAGTTAATGTCTGAAAACACTATTAAGTTATTCACTTAATATTAATCACAGTATTCAGTTGATATTTGTTACAAAACAGTAAAGTTCTAGCCTCATTTGATTATACTTTAATCTTTAAGTTAATGTTTATATAAATATCAGAACATGCTGTTAACATAAATGATATAGATATCAGAATACCTTGTTAGCGTAAACAGTATAAGCATCAGAATATGCTACCAGCACAAACAATATAGGTATCAGAATACCTTGTTAGCTTAAACAATATAAGTATCATAATACCTTGTTAGCTTAAACAATATATGTATCTGAATACATTGTTAGCTTAAACAATATAGGTATCTGAATACCTTGTTAGCTTAAACAATATAGATATCAGAATACCTTGTTAGCTTAAACAATATACATATCTGAATACCTTGTTAGCTTAAACAATATAGGTATCAGAATACATTGTTAGCTTAAACAATATAGGTATCAGAATACCTTGTTAGCTTAAACAATATAGATATCAGAATACCTTGTTAGCTTAAACAATATAGATATCAGAATACCTTGTTAGCTTAAACAATATAGATATCAGAATACCTTGTTAGCTTAAACAATATAGATATCAGAATACCTTGTTAGCTTAAACAATATAGATATCAGAATACCTTGTTAGCTTAAACAATATAGATATCAGAATACCTTGTTAGCTTAAACAATATATGTATCTGAATACCTTGTTAGCTTAAACAATATACGTATCTGAATACATTGTTAAGGATAAATTATATACATATCAGAATATACTGTTGGCATGAACAATATAGCTGTCAAACAAGTTAGTGGTATACCAATAATTAATGTGGTGTGAAAGTATTGTTATTTCAACCTTTAGTGGTAAACATTTAAGTGGTTAAAAGAGAAAAAAAAATATTAATTCTTTTTAAGTCTCACAGCTTTTTTTCTTACTTCTTAGGAATTTTTTAGTAGTAAAAAGAGCAAACATGAAGAAAACTTTGAGCCCTGGACATCTAAACGAAATGCTATTCTTAACAAGTACACTACTTCAGAAAAGCTCTCTATTATCACCAGTTTTCTTTCCGGGGGTGAAAAAGGTAAGTTAAATGCGTTATTGGAAATGATTATGGAAATGCACAGGTGATATGCATAAAGAAGTCATAAATAACTATTAATCAAATAAACAAGTACTCAACTTCTCATTCATATAATACATTGTTAGAAAAAACAAGAAAAGCGACTAGGTTGTAAAATTCATGAACATCTTGTGTTTGCTTTAAACAAAACAGTATATCTTGTTTATATGTATGATTGTGAAATATTGTTCCAAATATCCTGTATTATTCAGGACAATTCAGCCAAGTTGTTTAGTTGCCATTTGAGTTTTTCAGTGTATATAAATCCATGTAGTCTGAACAATATTTGTATTGGGACTTTGTGAAGACTATGGGGGTGTTCCATTGTTGTTGTTTTTACAACCAAGTAGTCTTTCACCACATTTGTTGCATGCTTGGGATTACTGTCTTGCTGAAAGATGACTTCTTTCCAACAGGATTGGTTTATGTGGGAATGGTGTGATGGAGAAGAATGCTTGTATCAGCAGTCAGGATTTCATTAATTTTGTGTAGATTTCTAGCACCAATGGTTAAGGTGCAATCAAGATTAAACCCTCACAGAAAGTAGCGAGTAGACTATACAAGGTTATTCAACATGGATAAAAAAATAGCAAATTTCAAGACCTCTAAAACCATTGTTTAAAACAGATAACAAAGAAGTTTGAAAAATGGGATTTTTTTTAAGTGGTGGGTGGATAGCATCCCCATCCATCCTCAGTTTTAATGTTAAATGCAGTCCTCACTTGCATTGGTTTTCCAGCATGTTTTGCTGTAGATTTTGTATATTAATTCTGATACTGCTCTCCTCTTTGCCATTTAATAAATTATTTCTGATTGTTGTCAAACAATTTGAATCAGAATTAATCTGTAAAGAGCATTCTCCTCCAGCTTTGTTTATCCCATTGTTTGAAGTCTAATGTTTTTTCCACGTAACTCAAAAACAAAAATATTTCATGTTGCTTTTGTGGGTGAAACCATGGTATTTGTAAATGAAATATTGGTAAAATGTACAACTGTCTTTGTTTTCCTCAATTCTGTAATTAAAAGTGTCCTGTTCAATCATACTGATGTACATAATCGGTCAGTTGTGCTTAATGGAACGTCACTCTCGGTCATTTATATTTTTGCAGTAGGTTTGGGCTGTGTGGGGGAGGGCAAAATTTAACATTTTCTTAATCTGAAAATTTATTTCTGATAGTTATTCACCTCTACACACAGAAATGAGGAAGATAGCATCTGTGCGTGTGAAGAGGTGAGTTATGAGTTAGCATCTCAGAATTCTTGCCCCAAAGTCTTAATAGGCTTAATTACAACACTTCAAAGCTAATGTTAGGTAGTTTAGATTATGTTCTTTACATGGTACATGATAATCCTACAGAGATCATGCCAATGACCTATCTATAGTTACTGATGTGAATGCTACCTTCAGGACAGTAAGATACACATCAGTACAGTGGATGAGTAGCTGATCAAAAACTATTGCTTAGGAGAGATAACCAAACTAAAATGTTGAAGTGGATGAAACAGTTTATTGATTGATAACTGAGTCATGTTTATGATAAACATTTTTAATAGAGTTTGATTCTTCTCATCTTCATCGATATTTTTTTCTTAGAACCTGGTTTCAGAGAGTGGCCATGTAACCACAATTGCAAGGTCATGTTTGATCTGATGATGAACTTTATGGAAAGAATATTAGAAGTTTGATTTATAACCAAATTTTGATTGTCTTACTTTACTTCTGTTAATAATGCATTGTTTTTAAACATTTACTCATCATGCATGTATTTTTACTATGATTGCTGTCTTATGAGCTTTGCTCTTATTTTAATAATTGGTATAAATTGTTCTTTAATATAGCTGTGTTTTGTTCTTCAGTCTTTCCGAAAGGTTCCATTGTTCTTTCATGCAGGAACTAAGTCTTGTCACTTTCTCACAAAACCATAACTTACTTCTTTACATCAGTTCCGTATACACTGACCTACATAGTTTGTAACGTGTAGGTAATGTCAAAGCAGAGCTTCATAAGTGGTTGTTCACATCACATGTTTTGAGGTTATGAAAGGATTGGAATGAGGGTCTATACTAATAACATTTGAGAAAGAGAAGGGAAACTTGAGAGAAACAAAACCTTGAGAATTATATTCTTAAGATATAATATCTATGTAAACAGCATATTTCAATATCAAGATAAAACATCGATTTTTTGATTAAATATTTATTTGATGAGTTAATAATTGAACTTTTTAAGTTGAAATGTTGTCTAAGCATATAAAACTCTGGATTTCCCATTAAAAAAAAAGTAATTTAATTGAAAAATGATGCTTTTACTTTTGAGCCCGAAGTTACAGGAGTTCTTAAAATATGTCAGTTCCTTGTATTATGAAATAATTTTTTAATTCATACCTTAAAACATTGTTTTCTTGTCTTAGTTTAATAAATTTGAGCATGAAAAAGCCCATCTTTACACTTGTGACAGTATTTTTTATTGCACACATATCATTTCAATATGACATTTTTATGGAGATGATTTTGACATCTTACTGATGGATGAATAGTGTTGTTTAAACATTTGTTTAACAACAAGTAAAAGCTTAGAAAGGT